TTCCCTCTCTTGGTATTTCCTTTTTCGGCGGTAGTAAAATATTGCCAAAAATACCAAAAACACAAGGAAAGCAACAGCAACACCAGCACCAGCGGCAATCCAGTAAGAGGAGGTGGCAGCTGAGGCACTGAGAGCAGACGGTTTATCTAAATTCTTTGTTGTGGGATACGTTGTCGTTGGCCAAGGTATGTCGACAGTGGATGATGGAGTTGGGTGCAGCGTTGGCGAGGGGCTGATGCTTACGTTCCTCACCGCTACTTTGCTACACTTCTCAGATCGCGCAAAGGTACACTGCATGTTTGCCGCGACTCCAGGGACTTGACATCCGGCCTCTAAAACATCTTCGCCATCATTACAGCAAGGAGAACATGGCTTGCACCTTCCCACGGTGTTGTCGAAGTAGGCCCTTTGCGTGCAGTTGCCACACTCTGCATTTGATGTCAGTGTACAAGCTTTGATGGTTTCTCGGTACTCATCACAAGTGTGGCAAGTCTTGCAAGCACCAGCTTGATTTCCACCCGAATAAGTTTCACCGAGTACACAAGGCAGGCATTTAACGGAAGTTTGAGATGTAATGACGTCTCCGCAGTTAACTGACAGTCCCTCCCCTGCGGGGCACGTTTGACATTCCCTGCATTGGTACCCATCAAGGACCTCATCAAGGATTGTAATATCGTTGCCTGGACAGACAGGGGGAGCCATTCATGTAAAAATATCTGTAATAAAGAAGATATAAACAGAGAAGATAATTCGTTTCGTATGGGTGTCTCATTTCCATTATCGTTTAAACTTAACACGTATTAGCCGTGTCGAAAGGCAGAGCAATGACACTGGAACCTTTCTGGAGCCTCATGGTATAAATATACCTGATGAACTTAATTACTGACATGTATCTTTTTTACTAGCCTATCATTTTCTGTTTGCCACATATTCAAATCTCGCATACCATGTAATGTTCATTCTGTCTAACACAACAGCCACAAATTAACTCCAACTTTGTCCTATTGTAAACCGTTTTTAACTGAAAATGCGACTGAAAATTAGTAATGTGCAGAGTACTTTTGTTTTTATTATCTTTCGGCAGGTCATTTGTGACTCTGGCATTGCTAACATTGAACTCACCGTTAAATCCGTTCTCGACGATCTCAATAACTCTACGCTTTTTAAAATCAGTTACGGTTTCAAATTTTCGACAGCGCCCCCCCCCTCTCCCCTTTAAGTGTCCCCCACATAGAGACGAACGTCCTCTGCGCCTGCGCAAGTCATTTGAATTACATAACCATCGATCTACAGAATACAAAATATTTCATGTTGAAACATAACAAAGTTTATAACATCTGATGTTGTTATTTCATATGCAACCTCAAGACCAGAATAATTACGGTTTGCTTATGTTAGCAGATATGCTCAGGCAAGACAAAGAAGATTGCTGAGGCGGAAATAGTGTTTTGCAAGATTGCATTTTTTTTTTGCTACGTAACGCTCAGGTTCGGCTTGAAACATCGCTAGTTCAATTTGTTTAGAAGTCAGCGCTGAAACTTACGGGTGGGTTTAAAGGGACAAATCGTTTACTGCCGAATTTAATTGAAGAGGTAATTAAAATGCAGAACGCTTCTAACCTTAGAAAAATCAGTCCAAGTTCATGCACACGTTTTGGATACATAATTGCGCATGAGAACCCTGCACGATAGGAGAGATTTAAACCGGATTTCATCGAATCGTCCAAACTCGCGGTACCAATTAAGGTAGACATGTTTCTGGAGAATAAGACTTACCTTAGTTAGATCTGCGAGGAACAATCAACTTAAAAAAGTCAGTTCCCAGAGTCAGCCCACTCATGGCATTCGTGTCTGTTGACTCTCAAAGACTCAGTGATTCCGTTCCGTATTAACGAAAATAATATCGTTTTTCCTTCCTTATAGTTAGGGAATGTGACAGGTTTGTACCAGAATTTCCTGACGGATGACATCAGAGAATTTTATGTGGTCAAAGTTTCAAATAAAACTTCCTGTGTCAAGACGCTCGATTCTAGTGCACGGATTTTGTTACAACGTTAAGTTTGTGAGAGGTCATTTTTACATTGAATGCAATAATGGATGCACGTTCTTGTTTTTAATTCGCTTTAAGTCTAAGTATGTTTTGGGAAAAGGGAAGGCTAGAATGTAGTTAGTCAGCAATGGTTTTAGTATGAACTAAATCAGTTCCTGTGGTAATAGCTAGTCTGTTATCACCAATGAAGAGAAAAGGACATCGGCGCAGTGACTTGCGCATTCAATATCGACCCGATTTCCTTAAGAAAGATCACGAGACAGGAAAGTGATTAAGAGTATCTGTACTTTTATCTTAAGCGTTGATGTTTCAGCCCATAAATATAGCCTGGGATGTTACTTTATTCCGACTCGACCCGACTCCTTATCCATTTACTTTGGACAGCAGCGGAATTAGACTCCCTTATACAATCGAACTTCCACGTGCGACCACCTCTCGTAAGCGACCACCTCCCTTAAGCGACCGCCTATCCAAAACACCAAAACTTTCCCAGTAAAAGCCTTACAGTTGGAACTTCTAGTAAACAACTACCTCCTGTAAGCGACTGCGACCACTTTTTGAGCCTTTAAGTTTAATGATCTTCCATTGTTTTTAACCTCTTGTAAGCGACCATTTGACTCATTCTCTGATCTCTATGTTCGCCGTGTGCACTATGCTACTTAGAATATGCGAAGAACTTAATCAACAACAGGGGGGCCTCCTTCCTGTGTGGGAGGCTAAATGCGAAAAAAGGGCACACCACAATCAACTAAAAATGTCGATCGATTGATTACTGTGACAGTAAAATAACATCAACTCGGGAAGCTCTAGAAAAACTGCTACGGGTTAAAAGGTCTCAGAGAAGAGAAATACATGTACATTGTTTTTTTTTACCGGCTTAAGAGAAATAAATGTTTTGTATATCCGATGAGTTTTTCAGTTTGAAATCATAAAAATTTAAGGCTCACTATCCCTGCCAATCTGCCAAACTGAAACAGTCTCGTTTGTCTACACCAGACAACCAAAGATTCTGATAATATTCTGTTCTCGGGTCAATCATGAATCATACTCATACACTTTCATAAATGTAAACACATCAGGAAATTTGATTGCATGTTTATCATTTGTCAAATCAGGATGCAGGTCGCATTCCATTTTAAGCCTTCCTTGTCGCAAGCATTTTTATTTTTTGTAGTAGTAACATTCAATCCAGCTCTTCCCAACATAAACCATATTATTACTGGCAATCGTAACATTCTTCATTCTTCAAAACGATGCAAAGAAGCAATTCCTTCTCCTCCTCTTATATCACGCTTCCGCAGTTGCAATAATCTACGTGACATCCCACAGGTAACCCAGGCCCTCTGTTTGGGTCACGGGATATGTTTCATAACATGAGTAAATATAGAGAATATGTGGGGCCAAGTTTTAGTCTGGAAATTTGCTAGAAAATGGAAATAAAAATCGATGAATCTTACCATGTGGCGAGTTGTTGTCGTCCTTAACATGTACACGAAGTTTCGAGAAAAATAGTCCAGGGAAAAAGTGCCCTCCTCCATATACATGTCAAAGCATTATTGAAGTGAACTTCATAACTAACTGCTGATCCTGATCTACACCAAGATCCGGCTTCTCTAGGCTGCGGTTTATCTTAGTGGTCTTTGCAAGACCATATTTTTTGACCCTGATTCGTTTGTTTTGCATACAGAATTAATTAATTTTTCAAACTATTGACAACATGGAATTGAGTTTTAAAAAAAAATGTTGGCACTACGAATGTGGACCGCTAATAACCAACCTTTACAGGTGTTTTTTGGATTCCAGTCCAAAAAGACACCTGCTCAAGACGCTAAATTGTGAAATAGTATACGCCCGTTTAGGGCTCATGACAGGGGCTTAGCCAACCGCCCCCCTCCCCCACTTACAACAACTTTTCACGCTTTATACATCCAGCTTACCGCTTACTAAGCACTTTTTTCCAGCTTTCGCGCCTTTTACCCATTTCTCTAAATATATCGGTCCACAGGAGCATAGGCTCTTGCGGTCTACTAAAACTGAACCCACACTAGTTGAGGTACTCTCTCTTCTGCTAGCCTGCTTTACAGGCGCCTTGTGAGCCAAGCGGGGCGAACACGGCATTTTGCGTTCGCGCACGTTTCGCGCTTCGTTCAAATTGACGAGTTCGCCTCTTTTGGCTTATAAAGCGCCTGTTGAACAGGCTACTCCTCTGCAGAGGCTCCCGTTGTGTATCCCAGTAAGACCTCAGCGGAGAAGAGAGGATGAGGTATATAAAAGGGTAGGGAAGTCTGTCATTTAGTCTGTAAAAGGACTTAAAAGGGCTATGATTAAACAGACGCATTTTATGGCTGTGAAAAGTCAAGAAAACTTCCTGCTTTAGTGATTTATTCATATTTAAAGGAAAGGGGATTGGACCTTGGGCGGGAGCTACCTGTATAAATCTTCGTTGAGTGCCCCCCGGGACACTTTCAAGTGATTGCCTTTTATCAAGAGAGTTGCTTTTAGGCCCTGTTTACATGGAGTGGGGGACCCCGGTCTAGTGGGGTTGGTTTCTTTTGTTTTCACGCTCTGGGGAACACGAAACAAAAGAAACTTACCCCACTAGACCGGGGTCCCCCACTCCATGTAAACAGGGTCTTATTCAGGAAAAGAACTGAGTGAAAATCTTTCCCAGCCCCCCTCTCTGTACATAAAAGGGCTAGGGTTACTACAGTCACCCCCCGCCCCCCAAACCCACTTCCAAGGGATTGAGATGTGGCCTCCAGGGAGCTTGGTTAGCAAGAAAGCAGGCTACCGAGAAGCCGTAAGAGACTGTAGACCTTGCAGAAGTTTGTTGGAAACGCTGAAAAGGAAAACGTCACGTGTTCTTCAACGTGTTCTTTACTTCTTTCAATTAAAGTCGTCACGCAATCACGCAAGATGGTGTCGAGTCTTACCCAGTCTTATCCGAGCGTGCAGAACAAGATGGCGTCAAACACGGGAGAGTCTTAAAGTTTAGTATTTAGCAGAATAGAGTCCCAAGTCGACAAAAATGTTGCCTTCTGTTGGGGTGGTTGACACTGGAAACTCTTCTCGTATACTGTTATCGCTTTTGCGTTCTGCTGGTTTTACAGTAAGTGGTATTTGGGGTTCCACAAAGCAACAAGCTCAAGAAATGGCCGATGAATACAGGGTTCCGTTTCATACAAGTAAAATTGACGAGCTGCTGCTTAGAGAAGACGTGGATTTGGTTTGCGTTTTATGCCCGCCTCATGTTCGTGCCGAGGTAGCAGTGAAGGCTCTTTCTATTGGGAAACATGTGTTGTGTGATTCCCCCGCTGGCCTCAGCAGAGAGGAAGCTGTAAGAATGGTTAATGCTGCTCAGTATTATCCAAAACTTCTTTCCTTAATTAGACACGAGCTTAGATTTCTCCCAGCCTTCATAAAAATGAAACAATACCTAGAAGAGGAGGAATTCTGTGGAGAGCCTCTAATCTGCGAGTGTAAGATTGAAATGGGCTCGTTGATTGGTAACCGGTACAACTGGATGTGTGACCAAGCCATGGGGGGTGGTGTTCTAACCAGTGTTGGTGCTCAGATCATTGACATCATCTCTTTCCTGACCAATCAAAGAGCAGCTGAAGTGCATGGCACTTTGAAAACCTTTGTTACTCAAAAGGAGAGTATATCCAGCTTTCGGCACATATCAAGTGACGATTACACAGCTTTCCAGATGAAACTTGACGGTGGTGTTTTTGCCACTGTCACTCTTAACACTCACATACCAGGACGTTATTCTCAAACACTTACTATTTATGGCACTAAAGGTCAACTTATTGCCAGAAATGGTAACTTGTATGGAATGAAGAACGGAGGAAAGGAAGAACTCATTTATGGTGACATTGCTCGTATCCCTGGTTCATTTAATGTGGAAAAACTTCCACCCAGCATATTTTTAACAGGTCTTGAAGCATGGGTATCAGAGATTAAAAGAGCATTTGAAGAATCCATTAACAAAGATGATCGGAGGATTGCTGACTTGCAAACTATTTCCAGTGCAGCCTCCTTTGAAGATGGTTAGTAAATGGTACACTGGTGAAAAATTGACTAATTTATTTTTAATCTAAAGTAAATTGAAATTGTCTATTTTGTGAGTCAGTCCAAATTCCTTCCACTTTAGTTATAAAACTAATTTTTTTGACTGTGTGCTCTTTAATCCATTTAAACCTTAGCTGCCCATAACATCCAGTTTAAATCCTTATTGCTTGTACCACTTCTCAGTTGTATCTGAATCTTTTTCTTCAACCATCAGGGTTTGTTCAAAGCACTGCGTTTATGATCCCATCTAACAACATGACATATTCATTACACCTGGACTCTTTAAAGTTAAGAGGGGTATTGCTGTCACAAAACCATGAACCCATGAATTATTTCTGGATTTGATTGTGTTTCAAGTAAAGAGCCAATGATTAATGTGGTAACACAAAATGTCAAACAGCAATGGTAGTTAGTTTGTGGTTTTGTGGCTTGCTCACATGTCTTTGATCTTTACTGTGATTGGTCATTACATACTCAACATTCCTAGAAAATGCCAGGTACTCACAACTTTGTCAGTTTGACGGTAAACTGACTTCTGGTAAGAGACACTTAGCAACAGCATTTGGGCTGCCCCTCTTACAGGGTTTCAACTGTATTTTCTGTTTTAAGGTGTCCTCAGTAAATTAGAAGGGCCTTTTCTCCTTAGCTATATATTACCACAGTGGGGTACTCCAGATTGCAAGTGATGGGGTTGATCGAAGGATCTTTTTGGGTTTGAAATTTAATTGCAGGTTTTTTTGGGGAGGAAAATTTGGCAAGTATTTTTTGGGTGGCTTGATTTAAGAAGGGATTTTTTGGGTATTCCAATTTTTTAACAATCTGAAGATTCGTGGAAGTGCCCACATTAGGGAAAGTTCATTTAATATGACAAGGGGGGGGGGATGAAGATATTGAGGGGGGGCTCCGAAAATTTTTAGACACCCGAAGGGGGGGCTCTGAAAAAATTGTTGCGCTAGGAGGGGGGGCTCTGAAAATTTGTATACTTCAAAACCAACACATGACATCATCATACAGATCGGGTGGTTTTCAACTCAACAATTTAATGACCTGTGCAACTCAGCTATATCACGTGGTTTACAGATATAACAAATGTAGTCTCAGTAATTATTACACTCTTGTTCATCCTAAAAATGCTTTAGAAAATTGTATCACAACTGTATCTCAAGTTTGTCATAGTATAAACCATTGAAAACAATAACGGTAAATATATTTAATACAGTCTAGCGATCTTTTTTCAGGGGAGCAAAGGAATTGAAGGAGGAGGGGGGGGGGCTCTGAAATTTTTTCGACTACCAAGGAGGGGGCTCCTAAAAAATTGAACCACTAGCGAGGGGGGCTGCTAAAATTTCAAGCTTCGAGTTTCAATATCTTCATCCCCCCCCCCCTTGTCATATTAAATGAACTTTCCCTTAGCTCTGTGAATAAAGTACACATTCAATTTCTAATGTTTTTATTTTCATGTTATATCTTTTTTTAATTGGTTAATTCAGATTTACAATTTTATTTGCTCACTCATGCTTTCTAGAAATTTTAAGGCCTCGCAATTTAGCATGGGATTTTTTGGGGGTTAGATTTTGGTCTGGGGATATTTCGGGCTTTGATTTATGCCCCCATTCAATCATCCCTGTCACTTAAAATCCAGAGTATCCCCTGGGTATATTACACATAAATTAAAAATCATCATCATAAACAATTTTTCTTTTGTATAGGCCTGCATACACGTGCTGTTCTTGATGCAATCGCAGAGTCTAGCTCAACTGGTTCCTGGTGCCAGGTGAATTTCATCACCAATAATGGATCAGATAAATCAAGGATGGGCTCTGAGGAGAGTATGCTACAAGTTAGTAATGAACAAAAGAAGGAGAAAGCTGGTGAAAAAGAATACCCATTGCCTGTCCTGCGAAAAATGCTGACCCAGTAAATAATGAACTTAGTGGCAGCCACCTTGATAACTGGCCTAGGAATTTCATGGTATCTGTAAATAATATCCCACTAACCAGTTTAAAATTAATTGAAGTCAGTATGTGACCACCCAAGGGTTGTGGATTAAGTGTCGCTGACGATAGTTATTTGCTTGCGAGAATCGACCCACAGGGGGTCTATTCTGAAAAGAGGTTCCCACACATACCTTTTGAAAGAGAATTTATTGCATGCAATTTCTAAGTTATGATATGCATAGTTTTATGTTGTCACTGAAGGATCTTTGTATATTGTGGGTGGTGTAGTATATAAAGCAAACGATGCATCAAGTGATCAATTACAAGAGGTTAAAAAGTATCAAAAATTTTAAAACTCCCAGCAAAAGTGGTTGTTGTGGCTCATGAGAGGTGGTAGAGCTTTGACTGGGAAAATTGGGTGTTTTGGATTGGTGGTCACATATTGGAGGTGATAGCTTACAAGAAGTGGTCGCACATGGAGGTTTAACTGTATTTTGAGCCTGGAAACAAACCAAAGTTGCTTCAGAAAACTATCACTGATATAGAGGTATTCTATTATATTATTTAGTGTCATATTTTAATGGAATTTTTCTGTAACATTGTCTACTCTTATTGATTAGTTTGAGATCGCATGGCGTCTAATAATAAAACTGTTTTTCCAGAAAAAAGTCTCTGAGCAGGCAAAATGGCAAAATCTATGACCTGAAAGGGTAACCGTTCCCCTTTACCCATGAATATTGACTGCTCACTGAAATTTATTAAGTCACTTCATGACTGGTCCCTTGGGAAATAATTGTTGTTTTACTAGGGACCAGTCAAGGGCGTAAGTGTATCATAAAATTTAGCTTTCCAAAAAATTTCTGGTTTTTTTTTTTAAATAATAAGGCTTTTGTTGCAGTTGACAAAATACTCTACACCTTGATATTATGAAGGGCCAAGGAATTGGCAACATACATTGTAATGTCCACTAGAAAAAGGTTTCATGATAGATCGACGTTCATTACACTGTCTTTACCATTTATTCAGGGGCGCCCAACGACGGTTTCCTCCTAAATGCATTGTAAAGTCTTTTTAGGCTATCCAGAGTACTTTTAGATCCCTAGAAATGCATTCTAAGCGGCGCTATAAAATTTGTTTCTGTTCGGTCATCCTTGAGACCTTGAGGCTTTTCGAAATTACAAGGGCTTCAGTGTTATTTTTCCTAAAATTTTAGATGCAATTGAACGTTTTACGAAAGTGAGAATTTTTCTTATTCCTCTCTCCATCACATTTTTGAATCCGAAACTTTTAGGTTTCCTTTTTCTAGGAAAATTAGCTCAACACAAGGAGTAAAATATGAAAAATTAATCTTCAGAAAAGATCAGAAAATCGTAAGGAATTTTTTAGTTAAGTTTCGAAAATTGTACCTGAATGGAACGCTCATCTAGTTCAAGCAATAGAAAATTCTAGGCAAACTTTGCTTCTCCGAACAGATAGTTTACAGAAAACAGTCGTTGGGTGCCCCTGTTTATTTTACTGTCATTGGGGCAAGTGTCCGTTATACTGAGGACTTTGTTATATAGAGGTTCATTTTATCGAAGCTCCACTTTATTTTAGAAGAATGCTGTGGCAGGAATTTCCATGGCTGTGATTTAGGCCCTTTACTCTTCTTAATTTATAGTTATCACATTTATATTTGTGGCAATAGGGTCGGCAGTTTTTATAAATTGGTCGCTGATACAGACCTATTTTATCCTGAAACGAATCTGAATTCCTGGGAAACCTCAGTTACTTTAATGTTTGCGTTTGGTTAATTGCCAATATATCAACTATTAATGCAAGGAAATCTTTATGCCTGTTTAATATAGATTTAATTCAAGAGCCATAATAGGCTTATGGCTCTTGTTTAAGTGTAATGTACCTTTCATGAGCCATGCCTGAGGGTTTAGAACAATGCAGATGTGATGCAAATAGGTTAACGTTTCCTCAATGCCAGGATTATTTTAAATTCGTAGCAGTAGTAATAATTGATGACCATTTAAGGTGGCTTCGTTATCAAGACTGAAGAGCACTTTTTGAGGAATAGTACGGTTGCCTATCGGCTCGCTTTTCTTGATAAGTAGGCACTGCAAATACTTGTCCCGGAAATTAGAATTAGTGGCTCGTTCTACCTCATGGCAAAACAATGCTAAACTATTTACCACCAGTAAAATCGGATTATTTCATATTATTGCCGAATAATAGCATTAGTTCTTGCAAAGTTTCGTAGGCATCGCGTTAAAATCGAAAAAGTAGTTCATATAGTATATAGTATATAGTTCATCATAGTTCAATCCCCCTTTTTTCTTATATAACCGAGCCTCGTTTGACTGGGTCGAGCGGCTGTCCAAGATGGATGCATGTTTCTAATATGTGAGAGGCTTAAGAAGTCGAGTAAAAAGAAGATCAATATTTTTACATTTGAAAACCAACAAGCTAACGTGTATTTTCTTCAAGAGACGTTTTCAAACCCTATAGATGAGAAAGTTTGGTCTTCGGAATGGGGTGGCCAAATTTTTTATTCGCTTGAATTAGATCATTCTAAGGGCATGCGTATCCTTACTAAACCAAACTCCCCACTTCGTGCAGAAATAGTGGAGCTCGATATAAATGGGAGATTTATAATATTACTTTTAAAATCACTCTCTCCAGAGGCGTTCGAGGCATTTTCAAGTAAAAGATAAAAGACTGCTATGAACAAAGAAAATGCTACGAACACATTTATTCTGTTTGTTTTTAAAAATCGTTTATAACCTAGACCCGGGAGACGGCGGAAATCGAGCCTATTTATAACCTAGTCTTACAAACACTGCCCCAGCTTGTAATAAGTTAGATGTGGATAAATTCCATATTCTTTGTTCTTAAGCCAGTCAACACTTTGCATACTTGCAATTCCCCTCTTTGCAGCTGCCGTTCTGTGTGACAACTTTGGCTGTATTCTCGTTGTACATGATTTCAGTGGCATTATAATAAGAGTTTGTGGCATCACATGTGTATTGAGTATCTTAAACATTCTTGACCTTTTGACAGAGTTAAAGGATTTGCTAGGATTCAAAAGATGTGGTGTGCAGGTCTAGATTGAAGACCATTAATCGTTTCACTACGGGGTCGCCGTATCGCAGCTTGATCATGACTAAGATGTGATTGACGTAAAGACTTCAACCGTTTCTTGGGTGAATCTAAGGTTTTTACGTTATTATAGGATGGATTCTGATCAAGATCCTTTGTTAGCAGATAGAGATAGAGAGCTCGGTATTGTCTATATAGGGCACTGGCTATCTGCGAAGTAGGCTCGATTTCCGCCGTCTCCCTGGTCCGGTCTTTGATCCTCCCCTCTCTTTCGGGGGATGAGTGCTGGCTCATTTTCCCGAACAGCGGCTGGTAATCGAGCCTATCTGCGAAGCAGGCTATAAAAATGCATAATCGTGGAAAAAAGTTGTGATAGGGAAAATGCTTTGATTTGTAAACAAATTCTCTCGGCTCATTCTTTAAAAAAATGTATGGAGATCAGTCCGGAGAATTTGTACATTTGGCTGTTTTAGTTCTAATAGAATCCTTAACACGAGTATACAGGCATATTACTTTGCCAAATTTTTCATTCAACATATTTCTCCGTTTCCTGATTGGCTCAAATTCTCCGGCTAATTCTAATTCCAGTTACAGTCAGTAAAACGGAGACGTAGAGTTGCCCCCCCCCCCCCCCCAGGGGCATTTAAAAATCAGGTCCTTTTTTTTTATAAATGGTTACCCTTTCCAACAATAATTTAAAAACATTATAAAAAAAAAATTTCTAAAAAAGAACACGAAAAGGTAGGAAGAGGGACGTGCGCGCAAGTCAGCGGGGGCCGGGGGGCGGGTGAAGTGTAAAACCTGTTTAACGTCACTTTAATTTCCCCAAATTTTCTTTCACCATTCTTTTCCCTTTCCCTTTTTGGCCAAATTCTCCGGCCAAATTTAAATCCCCGCTCAGGCATAAAAAAGGGGACCGAGAGTTGCCCCCCCCCCCCCCAGTGGGTACTTAAAAGGTACGTACCTTTTATTGATAAATGGTACCCCTTTCACACAATAGTTTAAAACAACTGTTAAATAAATCTTGCTAAACGAGGAAGCGAAGAGGAACGAGGAGAGAAGGCCTCGCAGGCTAGCGGGGGCCTAGGGGCAGAGGAATTTTTGATCTTGTTTTCCCGTTTTTTATGTTAAGCGACAACCGGAAATACGTCTGCGTTAGCTGTCTGGATTATTAGTTGTGCGGGCGGGAACCATTGTTACCAGAACGAAGGACGTCAAATGAAGTTTTCCTTGGACCAGAAAGAGACGTCTTGGTGAACTAAGCAGAAGATTGCATTTTTAAAGGTATGAATTTATTGCATCCCACGACGCTTCCAGCCTGTTTTGTTTTTACTGTCGCAACGCAAATTTTAAACCTGAAATGAATATCAAAATTCTGGCACTTTTCTTTTCACGGTGCCTTGAGTGTCTGCTACTGAATGATTCTCTGTTGACTTGAAAGCGCTTGATGTAGGCTTTTTTATTGACTTCGAAAAGCGTCAACTTTTTCTATTGTCGTTTCCTGATTACCTTTTAAAAGGTTTTTGGTTCTCATTGACTATTCGAAGGGGACTGACGTAAAACAGTTGTTGCTGCTGGAAATATCTGAATGTTTCTCGCGCTGAGCCGCCCTAGTAGGTGTTACAATTTTTTGAGTGGCCCCTATTAACCTGGGGGGTACTCAAGAAATTTTTATACAGGGAGGCTTCTTCCCGAGGTCCAACCACTTACCCTTTTATATTCCAATTTCTACTGAAAAGGTACCCCTTTCGTAGACCTTCTATTGACAAATGGTACCCCTTTCACATGCCTAGTTTAGAACTTTTCATCCCTTTAAACTGCTGCAAACCCACTGTCTTTGAAATATGCATAAATCATAAAACCACGACGATTTCTCGACGTTTCAGTTTACAGCCATAAAATGCAGCTGTTAGCCCTTTTGGGCCTTTTTACAGACCGAATGACAGACTTCCCTACCCTTTCATATACTTCAACTAGTGAAATCACTACCCTTTCATATTCCAGTAAGCCTGAGATAGGTATCCCTTTCGGGTGGAGCCTCTCCGTATAGGCCATCATGCCGAGTCCCCCCGGGTTTGAAGCACGATATAAATGTCATTTCCCCTTCAGTAATTCGTTTGTTCGACTAGTGACTGTACTGTTTTTGCCGTTTTAGCTTATGCAAGCTTTAGTTGTGGGGTTAACGTCTCTCGCTTGTTCTTGGGTGAACGGCAAAAATGGAATCTCGGATGGTGACAACCTTAATGGGAGAAATCACTGTTTACAAATATTGTTTTTGTTATTCAAATTTGTAACGAGTGAAACAAAAGAATCTTTTGTTACAAGAATCAATGCGCCTCTGGTTGACACATTATATCAATAGTCGGCCGCTATTTCTCAATTTGAAGACACAGAATAAATAAGCCCTTAATTTGAAGGACAAAGGACGCCTCCCACAGAATAAATTAGAGTTTTTGATCAAGTTGAGCACGTCAACCGGAAGTGAGGCGCTTTCCCTTTTTACATCTTTTTATATTCCGTGAAGCTACCATATTTATATTGCTTAGTGTCTTAATGTTAAAAAGAAAATTTGCCGACAATTTGGGCAAACCACTG